GAAAGCTACGACCTGGTTGTCATTACTGAAACGTGGTGGGATGAATCTCATGACTGGAGTGCGGCTATCAATGGCTACAAGCTCTTCAGAAGGGACAGGCGAGGAAGGAGGAATGAAGGCACTGCGCTCTACATCAAGAAATGGACAAAGTGTGAAGAGCTGTCTCTGAAGACTAGCCATGAGCAGGCTGAAAGCTTCTGGGTAAGAATAGAGACCAAGGCAATGAAGGGAACCTTGTGGTTGGGGTCTACTACAGGCTGCCTGATCAAGGGGAGCCTGTGGACGAATTCTTATTCCACACCCACAGGAGGCTCTGGTCCTTCTGGGTCCTTCAACCACCCCAACATCCGCTGGAAAAGTAGCATGGCAAGATGTAAGCAATCCAGGAGACTCCTGGAGTGCACAGGTGATAACTTCTTAAGACAAGAAACAGACAGCCCTACCAGAGGGATGCCATACTGGACCTGATGATCATCAATGTGAGTAAGCTCATCAGTGACATCAAGACTGGCGGCAGCCTGGGCTACAGTGGTCATGCACTGCTGGAATTCACAGTCCTGAGGGATACGATAAGAAAAGAGTAAAGAAAAAAATAGGGGGGAAAAAAAATCCCTCAATTTTAAAAAAGCAAACTGCCAGCTCTTCAAGGAGTTCGTCAATAGGACCCCCTGGGAAACCGCCCTCAGGGACGAGGGTGCAGTGTCTTTAAGGACACTTTCCATAGAGCACAGGAGCTCTCGATCCTCAGGTGTAAGAAACTGGGAAAGCAAGGCAAGAGACCAGCATGGCTGAGTTGAGACCTGCTGGGCAAACTAAAGGGCAAGTAAGAAATGCACAGGCAGTGGAAGCAGGGACAGGTATCACGGGAAGAGCACAGGGACACTGCCCAGCTGTGTAGGGACTGAGTCAGGAAGGCCAAGGTGGGGCTGGAGCTGAAGCTGGCAAGGGATGCAAAGCATAACAAGAAGGGCTTCTACAGGTATGTAAACAAGAGAGAGGAAGGTTAAAGCAAACATACCCCCACTAATGAGCAACACTGGCAAGCTGGTAACAAGGACAAGGAGACAAGGCTGAGGTACTCCCCAATTTTTTTGCCTCAGTCTTCACTGGTAGCCTCTCTTCCCACACTTCTCATGAGGATGGGCCGCAAGATGGGGACTAGGGGATCAAAGTCCCTCCCGCTATACAAGAAGATCGGGTTCATGACCACCTGAGGAACCTGAACGTACATAAGTCTACAGGACCTGATGAGATGCATCTCAGGATCCCACAGGAATTGGCTGATGTAGTTGCCAAGCCACACTCCATGATATTTGAAAAGTCATTGCAGTCAGGTGAAGGCCCCAGTGACTGGAAAAACGGCAAACATTGCACCCATTTTTAAACAGGGTAGAACGGAGGACCCTGGGAACCACCAACCGATCAGCCTCACCTCTGTGCCTGGGAAGATCATGGAACAGATCCTCCTAGAAGCTATGCTATGACACATGGAGGACAGGGAGGCAAATCAAGAGAACCAGCATGGCTTTACCAAGGGCAAGTCCTGCCTGACCAACATAGTGGCCTTCTATGATGGAATGACTACATCAGCAGACAAAGGAAGAGCTACAGATGTTATCTATCTGCAAGGCCTTTGACATGGTCCCCGACAACACCCTTCTCTCTAATTTGGAGAGAGATGGATTTGATGGGTGGTCTGTTTAGTGAATGAGGAACTGGTTGGATGTCTGGGTGAAATCCCACAAATTGGTGAAAAACACTTCACCCGCCTTTCCTCTTAAGACACAAAAACTGTCTGTTTCATATGGTGAGCTACTGAAGGGGTTTGTGTAGGGTAAATCTTATAAAGATGCTATTATGAGGAACAGACAGAAATTCTATATAAAAAGCTTCATTTCAGAGTTACAAAGACTGAGGAAAACATAATATCTCTAATATCAAGGGCACTGAGTTTTTTCAAAAACTAAATAAAAAGCTATGCAGCTTACCTCGAATAGGGCCCAGCGCTGCATCCTTCGCTAATGCAGTTAAATCACTTCCAGAGTATCCATCTGTCATTCTTTGTCAAAGGAGGAAGTGGGGGGAAAAAGGAAGGGGGGAAAAAAACAAACATCAAAACCTGCTTCAAACCATCTCATTTTAATTGCAGATTATTAAAATGTTACTTAATCAGAAGAAGTACTATTTTGATGTTGTTTTGCAAGTTTAATAAATCAGAAGTGCATTCAACATAAGCAATCTACATTTAAGTGTTCCAGATCAAATTTAAGTACAGATATTTGAGTTCCAAATAACATGTTAGGAAAAGCAAAAAGATAGCAACCAATTAGGATTTGTAGATGAAACCTAACCTCAAGCACATTTACTATTTCTCTTACAAGAATGTCCTATCACTAGTTTGTCATTATTTGTCAGAGATGCATATAAAACCAAAAACCCAACCATCATACAAATCCTCAGAACCACAATGGAGGAAAAAAAAATTCAAACCAAGGACCCAACCTCTATAGGAGCTTTTCCAGAATTAGATTTAATTTCCAAGTTAACCAATGAAATACCGTGCAGATTAAAGGCCTCCACTGAACCAGGAAGCCACCAATACACATTGCCAACATAAGTGAAAAGTAGTAGTAAGGGTTGCCTAACAAAAAGTTTAGAACAAAAACAACAGAATCCAGCTTGCTACAAGCAGCCACTACTCTACGAGAGCTTCATAGCTCAGTCTTCTGGAGGTAATTCATTCTGTTATAGAAAAGTTGCAGAGGAGCAAAGGAACACAAAGTCATGAAGCAGGTTAAACACCTATCTGTTCTAAACCAAAGAAAGATGTCCGATGAAGCAGGCAGGACCCTCAGCTTTTATATTTCAGCTAAACCCTTTAAAAAAAAAAAGTGTACTTAAGTTGCATTTGTAATTTGCTTCATAAATTAGAATCCAAGACAGTGTCTTCTTCCTCCAGTTAGCTATTATTGCAGCCTAAATATGGCCTGAGCTAGCATCCTTAAAGTACAGAGGAAATTTATTCAGTTGGATTATGCATCAAATTTCTGTAATGTTACTAAGAGGCTGAAAAATGCCACATCCAAGAGTGTACTCACCTCCTGTGTACTACCACAAACAGAAACAGAGACTCAAGTACATCCACTTGAGTATTTTTGGTACCTCTATTTTCACACTCTATTTTCACTCCTTCCTGCCCTAGGTCCTTTACCTACTTTTTAGTTTAACTTCCTTCACACCCATTACATTTAATTTCTGAGCGCTGACAAACAGCAGTACTGTGCTGGTCTTAATGATGAAAACCATAAAAAAAAATTCATAACAGGAAGGGCATTTAACCCACATTTTCACAATCAAATATGAAATAGAGAAGAATCTGAAATTATCCAGTGCTTGCTCAGCTATGTCGGTAATATTTTCAACAAGCCTAGTGATGGAGAATCAAAGAAAAGTTGCTTTTGACTTGAAATGCATGCCAAGTGCAAAACTGGTACTGCCTTTTTGCATCAGAGAGGAGAGCTGGACTGCCTGGGGAATGAGTGGAGAGAAGCATTGCCCTCCCTCCGCCTCAGAAAGAAAAGCACTGATGAGCATGTTTCAACAACAGAAACCACACCAGGTCGTGTAGGGAAAAACAAACACATACATATAAGCATATATAAAACCAATTTCATACAGCATGATGGGAAACCATCTTCCCAAAATGCATGCAATTAATACTCAGCAAGTGTTGTCACTATCCGATGATTTACATTAGTTACATTTGGAATGAAAACAACTTGAATGAATGCAGTAGATGAGTGTATTTACCTAGTATAATTACAAAATACTTACCTAGCTAGTTGTGCCAACTCTTTTTGGGTCAACGGACTTCCTTGTTTGCTTAGAAGAGTTTTTAGCAAAATCAATCTTGTCTGAAAAGAAGAAACATTTATCAGATGTAAAACTCATTTTCACGGCACACTTAAAATTCTGTTGCAACAACAAAATGACGTGTTTGTCAGGTTAGCTTTTGTGCTTCACTAGTTTAAACTTGCCTATAGTGCTTTTGTGATTAGACTGTACACGATCATCTCTTCAGGAGAAAAGATAGCTATTTGGTAATGTGCTTGGTTTCGCTGAGACAGAGTTAATTTTCTTCAGATTAGCTAGTATGGGGCTATGAGATCAAAGGTCAAGAAAAACACTTCAAGAATAATACATTAATAATATAGTAGAATCCTCATCAAAAGGACTAATCTGCTGTTGAGCTGAAAAACATTACTTTAAAAGACAGCTACTTTCATATTTTGCAATAAACACTCTTCTCCAGCCAAATGTGCTCCTGCAAGCCCTACGGCATACTTATCCATGCCTGCCAGTATGTAAGCATCACCTCACTAGCCAAGAAATACTGAGTAACTACTACCATAGTCACCAGAACTAAAGCACAATGCGTACAGGCAAGCTGGGCCAAAAGGTAATTCACAGAATTGTAATCACCCACTAGGGCAAGTTAAGAATAGGCTATGAAATATATTTTATACTCTTTTTTTAATAAAATTGATCTTAAAATGAAGAAAATGCGTGGAAAACAATACTTACTTCTTCATTTGGTAAAGACACATACACCCGTTTGGTGAATCGTCTAGAAAAAAAATTTTGTAACTTTTTAGCGCATATAGATCTAACATTTGGTTTGATAAACGTCAAAATTTCACTTACATCTTCAAATTCTAGGGATTTAAAAAAAAAAAAAACAAAACACCACAAAAACCAACAACCAAACAAACAATATGCATGAGCCACAGACAACCTTACTCTTATTTGAAGTTATGAGACCCCTTCCAGAGACAAAATACTCTAAAGGTAGAAATACCACTGACTACCAGCAACAAAATGAAGCATCTCTCAATCGTACACAGTCTTCAGAATCATTAAAAATGTGTTTTATTTGTTCAGACACTGCTGACATGCCTATTTTCCTCAACCAAGAATGAAAAGAGAAGAAAGTATGAGAAGTTGTAGCAAAAAAGTCCTAAGGCAAATCTACAGCAAGATCTGTAATTGCATGGGACATGAAAAGTCCAATATTCACAGAGGAGAAATGCTGGATACCACTGGTCAAATTTCTTCCTTCATCCTGCCATTAAGATCCAAACAATAAAAAAGCAATAGATAAGATGCAAGAGGGTTATAACATGTTGACTTGGTGTCAACAGGTACTGCTGTTTTAGACAATTCCAAGGCCATCATGCTTGTGCAGATGTATCCCAAAAGAGATGAGACAGGCACCTCTGAGAGGTTAAATAATCTAACCTTGCTGAACAGCTTTCACTACTTATTCCAAAACTTAAAACAACCAAGACACTAAGTAGCAAAATCTGCTCTTCATAATGAACATAGTGTTATTGTATTCAAGCAAAGGAAGAGACATTTTGATACCTGAGAACAGCATCATCAAGCTCCTGTGGCCTGTTTGTTGCTCCCATGACCAGTATTCTGTCCTCTCCAGAAGACTGCACCTATGTAACACAGGAAGGCAAGACAGCTTTCCGTTTACATCAAGTAGTAATACAACAAAACCCGTTAGAGACTGGCTGTATATTCAGCACACTGACGGAATTTTACTGTACATGCTTTCCCCGCCACCCATGCAGTTAGCTTTAACATATTCTTTAGATAAATGTAAAGACAAACTAGGAAGAAGAAAACAAAGAAAGAGCGCAAACACAGGACACTATGCCCAAGTTACGTTGCTTGAAAAGTGTCGTGCAAGAGCACAAATGTTGCTGTGGAGTTGCACATTACAGTGCTGGAGAAAACCGAGACTACAAAAAGCACTCAGAAGTTTAGTCATCCAGAGATAATTGTGTTTAAAAAGCTAGAGACTTTCTGCTGTTGTAGGTTTCAACACCAAACATTGTTTTGAAGCCTACAGAGAAAGGGTGAATCAAAACTTCAGACTAAGGTATAGCCAGAACCATTCAATCAGATCAGAGATTCACACCTAGTATGAGTCTTGAAAAAAGCTAGTAATCAAAATAAGAAGCTACTCAATAGTACATAGACACAGTAGTTTTCCCCCTGAATTCACTCAATTGCAAGACTTGATTTTATACCCAAGAATATGGAGACTGACAGCTTCCAGACTTCAGAGAAAACATTTGGGTACCAGAGAAGTGTTATTATTCACCTAGTGTCCAGTCCTTCACACACTTAAGTTCATTGCTGCCTTACTGAGTCCAAGAAGTCCCACAAAAATATTGTACAATATAGCTACACCTTGATCCAAAGTTTGCTAACTTACTAATTACATTTAATTTTCCCCTTTTCATTTTAAGAGAAAACTCTGTGTGTACATGTGTGCGTAATAATTTCTGCATATCATTGTTACATTGCATTATTTGTTCTGATTCATCCCACTTTGGAGTTTTTCCTGATCTCACTGTCTGTTTATATAGTCATCTTCTCCTCCTGTACCTCATTACTATTGCTTCAGCACTGTAGCAATATTCCACTGTGCTAGGAGAATATAAACTAAGGTTGTTCAATACAAAAAACAGTGCTGTGTGACAGAAAAGTATTCTGATATTCATTTGGTGTGTCGTTCCCCCCAGCTGGGTATTTCGGAAGTGCTATTAAACATATTCTTACCATATCTTGTCATCTCTAGGTCATGTCAAGAAACCAAATATGCTTTTTATTGAGCTATAGCACCACAGAAATTAACCCTTCTGATGTGTCAGAGCTGTGTACACCCACAAGCTGAACTAGTCTGTTTGAAATCCTCATCCCTCAAGTCTCACCTTACCCCTTGACAGTGCATGCTTTTGTGACACATATCCCTTAAAAACTAAAAAGACACTACTTAAAAGCCATTACATCTTCTTTTACTTTGGCAGAACGAAGAGATGTGCATCACCAAAATATGCAATTGCAAACAAGGATTCAACTCTGCCTAAGCCTCAAGTGTCCCTCTCACCCTATAAGCTTGTTCTCACAGCTCCTTTATTATTGCCATTTGTTATCCTTTCTCTGTCCATAGTCTTTCAACCCATTATTTCAGCTCATCTCCAGACTATCACCTTTCATCCCAGACTGCATCTTCCAGAGTACTACAGTAAACAGGTGAAAAATTAACAGCAACAGAAAAAAGCTGTTTGCCAGCCAAGGTGGGGGGGTGGGGTAGATGGGGACAGAGCTAAGCCCCAGCAGCCAAATCCTTTGTGTTTCATCTGTAGCTTATACTGGCACCCACTACATTAGCCAATTCAGCTAAATCAAACAATACCCAAGACTAAATACTTACACCATCAAATTCTATTAAAAACTCTGTTTTCAGACGTCTACTAGCATCATGTTCACCTTCTCGTCTTTCACACAGAAGGCTATCAACTTCATCTAAAAACAAAGAAATACACCTTAATTAAGCATACGACATTAAAGTCTTCATATTTGCATAAGTTCTTTTGCTAATATAGGTCTCCAACAAGACAGATCAGATCTTTATTCTTTAGGAGACAGATAGATCCTAGTAAAGTTTAAAAGCTTGTATAAGATGTTGTGCTTTGAATATGTAACACCAACCACAGATGAGAGAAAAAAAACCTGCTGATAATAAACTGCAACTCAGGACAAGCAAAATGCATTTTCATGTTTGAAGTTTAATACAAAAATGGACTTACCCTGTAAAGGTAGTACAGCATTTGTATTTCTGAGGGCATTTCTTCCCACTATTAACACCAATTAAGTAACATAATAGTAATCTAACATGCTCTATATAGAACTACTTATTAGCCAGCAGGTCATATCCAAGACACTTGCTCTGCACTGCAGAATTACCCAAAGAAGTTTACTCACTGATTCCAATTTAAGAAAATGGACAAAAGTCAATAACATTCAAGGCCTTACCAATAAAAATTATAGAAGGCTGAAGTTCTCTGGCGACAGCAAATAGAGCACGCACCAGTTTCTCCCCTTCACCTACCTAAAACAACAATAAACTGGTTTTGGAGGGGGTTTAGAAAGTGTTTATTATGAGAGCTAGCATAAAGACCTACAGAAAATCTTGCTGATAACCAACTGCACTCAGTCCATTCATACACACTCAGATTATCACTAGTTCAGTATTACATACGGCAATATTGTTTACGTCTTAAAAAAACCCAAAACATTACAACTTCACTTATCACAACCAAGTTGTCAAGGTATTTTTGGTGCCTAAATTATCAGAGCGAAAGGATATGGGACCCACTTAATCTATTTCTTAAAGAAGAAAAAGCCCACAAACACTCATCTATATGACAGCCAGGGTCATCCTGAGCTGCAAAGGCTTTTGACACTGAGTTATCACAAGCACAAAACAACATTTTTTACTTCACAAGTCACTTTTTGTAAAACTTTATGTTTACTATAGCCTAACAGTTCACCAAGGACTCATCAGAAGTCTCTGGCCTTCTTAAGCAGCAATTACAGTGTGTGTGTTTTCAGATCAGTATAATTTAGCTGCTACTTACGTATTTTGAAGTTAGGCTCGCTGCGCTTATATTAAAGAAAGTAGCATTTGATTCTGCAGCAACTGCTTTGGCCTAGGAGAGGGGAAAAAAACCTACTTTTTAAAACATCACGGTGAAGATACCTCTCTGCTTCTGTAGCTAGCACTCATGTCCCAGTTGACGATTTTGAAAACCCCTATTCCTTCAAAGGGAACACCTTGTGGATGGTACAGAAAACTCCTGTACAAGCCACTTACAAATAGGAACAGGTAAGTCATTGAACCACTAGAGAAATTTCCAGACTCCCTTAGACTTCTCTAATCACATTATCTCCATAGCCAACTACAACTTGTTTACTGAAGACCACAAGTCTCCAGCTCCTTTCAATGTATTCTGAGTAGACGTCTGAAACAGTTTTAACTAATTTAGAATGGTAATTTAGGGTAGCATTTGGATCAAATCTCATTAGAAATTATTGTGGGTTTTTTCCCTCCATACCCCATCTATACAAAAACTGTTTTCAGAGGAAAGCTAGGAAAAAGAATCAATTCAGCCAGAATGCTAACACAGAGTACTCTCTTCTCTAACAGTTTCACCATATTCAAGAAACTATGGTTATACAGTTTAATTTTAGAGATTAGCAATTATGTTTTAGTATGTAAAACATGACAGATGAGGCAAAGTGAGCTGCTCAGCATTCACTCTCCTGCACTTCAGAGGTCATCCAGCTTCACTATCAGCAAAGCGAGTGCGCAGCTGCAGCCACGCCATGTGATGCAGGACGATGTGCCCGGCTCAGCTGCGTCAGGACACGCGATGCTCCCTGACTGATGCACAGCCATTTCACTTCAGTTCCCCAAACCCAGCACATCATACTGAGGAAAAAAGCAGCAGCCAGACAGTTGCGCAGCACTTATGCTCTTCGCAGAGCAGTGTGGAAGCGAGACAACTCCCTTTCTTACTGCTGTGCTCCTTCCCCATTTCCAAAATGCACTTCTAGCATGTTTTAGTGGAGAGCAGACCATTTGTGATTAATCACTGCTGCATGCAAACAATTAACCATGTTACTTCCACTCTCTCTGAAAATAAAACTTGTGACTTGCTGGTTTAAGTTAAAATATTACTTCTCATACTAAAAAGAATTAAATAGAGAACAGTTTAGCAATTCCCTCCCCTGTAAAATCTAAAGTTATAGAAAAATGCAAAATTGTTCTTTAAATTGACACCAGAACACATACCCAGAAAGAACATACGGTTTATCACTAAAACACCCAAACTGAAAGCCAGCCCTCATGGTTACATTTTAAGCCCACCAACTCATGCATGAAGAAGTCATTTTCTCACCAACATTGTCTTCCCATTTCCTGGTGGGCCAAACAGCAATAAACCACGTGCAGGAGTTCTAAGTCCTGTAAATAACTGAAACGTACATCATCATAAGTTACCTTCAAAGACTTAAAGAAAATGTTGATTTACCTTTGTAAGAAAATGGTTTGAGATTGAGGAATGGCTCACTGGCTAGCAGTGGTAGCAACAGTAGCAGTGCTACAACAGTACAGGTTTTTAGAGAACTACGTTCGTTCTGTTACTAACTTGACCTAATGCACATGACTATTGTTTCTCACAGACAGTTAAATTACATCATGATCATTCTGTGCCTCATGATCATTCTGTGCATAGAGGCACTGTGAAAGGAGTATAAAAGGCAGTAATGCATTCCACAGACAGACCAGCCTAACAAGTTTAAAGCACCAATTGCATTTAAAAAGGGGGGAATGCAAGTATATAGGAAGAGAGTGAAAGAAACGTTCCTGCTAACTCCATATGGAAGCTTTGTCTTTTTTTTATTAAATGAAACTTGAGAAGACAAGCTTTGACCGAAACTATTTAAAATATTACTTAACAATCACCCACTTTCTCTAAATGCTACCAATAATAATCTCCTCCCTCTCACTTTGCATTGGATTCATCTTTCCTACACTGTAAAATTGCACTAATCATATCTAGCATGACAGCAAGCAAATCTACAAGTTCTCACAGAGTACATATCTTTCAGTTATTCCTGTAGCCTGTTTTCTCCAGCACTTTGTCTTTACCACTTTCCTCAAGAGTTTCACAGTTCCTTTTTGGCCTCACACTCACCCTTCCATTCCAGCTCCCAATAAAACAATCAACCAAAAGAATAGTAGGGAGTCTTTTATATATACCCACACTAGTCTAAACACCATTGTTGGCAGGCACTCCTTTCCACAACACCTACGATAACAAATGGCTCCATTATCAGGGTAGTGTTTCTAAGATGACAGACCAACATGCATTTTCTCTATTATTTAATCATTCATGGCACTTTGCTTGATCACTAAAAATAGTTACTCAGCATGATCCTACTCACTAATACACACTACCTACGTTACAAACACGTTGCAGTGTTTTAACCTGGTTAACCACATTCCTCAACTCTTTCTGCTTTCCATGCGGCATACCACCATGTGCATCTCCTGCCTGGCTCCTTTTGTTTGGAACCATTCTGCATGAGCTCCCTCATTTTAAAGATAGTCCAAACCAAATCTACAACTCAACTTCACCTTGATCACCACCTGCACAGTTCAGCTGCAACTGAAATTTATCACTGAGATATACTAAGTCTTTCAAGTCTTTATTAACAGCTTAATCATATTAAAAATGGCCTGAACTAATTGCTACTGTTTTATTAGCATCTTACTGCTGAAATGGTTGCAGTCATGTCTCTAGCCAGTGTTTTCTGTTTATTCACCTCAATTTTTGCTCTCCTAAAAAATATCATTGATTGTTTATGAGTTCAAAACTCCATTAAGGTTAGAACTGAAGTATTATTTAATTGACTAAATATTCCCCTATAGTTGCCACATCTACAATGTTCATTTACAAGGAATAAAACAAACCTCTTTCCTTCCAAGGAACATTTTAAAATTTGCAGGATTCTCTGTCCTTGTTATATCTCAACCTACACCAAGGTCAGGCCCATTGCTAGCTACAGTAATATGAAGAAGACCTTAATGAAATACCAATTGTTACTGGAAAAAGACTCGTAACCATTCCAAGCCTCACATCTCAAAAGTCTTTCCCACCCAGCTTATTGGATTAGTGTTACTGAACAACCAACTTGACACACTAAAGTTGTAACAGAGACTGTACAATGACATTTTCTTTCTGCAGAAGAATACCAGAGCATGCATATTTGATGCCAAAGCTTTGTTCTCCTCAGGGCTTGTACTCCTACGATGCTATGTCAGGTTTAGGGTTTCTTCCCCATGACGCTTCAAAACCAGAAACTGCATTAAAGGAAAGAGGAAGACCACGGAACAACTCCAGTCACCCGTCAATGTAACAAAAAAAAACCAAACCAAAACAAAAAAACCCACAAGCAAAGAACAAACAGCAATTTTGCTGCAATAACCAGCACTGCAGTAAATCATCACACGCAATTCCTGCAAGAGTCTAGCAACTTTTAGCAAGTCCAGCTTCAGAAAATGATCAGTTTAATTTTTTTTGAAAAGTGAATCAGAAAATTCCAGTAGTATATAGACCAGACCTAAATCTAGGCAGTCACAGTAGCTGAGGTATCACTTATAACAAAAGCTTAAATGACCAATTTCCATGAAGCCAAGCAAAGAGGAAATCTGCCCTCAAATGTTATACACCTCAGTGTACTTGCTTGTTCACTACTGCACTTCTTTGCATCCTTTCCTGCTGTGAACAGACAATTCAGAATGTCTACCAACATCCACACTGACTACATGACCCACAATACCAATTTAATATCTTTCAAATTAAATTTTCAAATTTTAGATATTTTTCCAATTACAGTGCGATGACTTAATCTACCTATACAAATCTGATCTGTTTCACGCTTCCAATTATGGGCTTTGTTCTTTACATGTCCATATAGCGTTGGACACAGAGCTGTAGCTGTCTGGAACAGTCATCTTCACAAATTTTCAGGATTTTTTGTTTGGTGGGTTTTTTTTTTTTTTTGTTTAGTTTTTACGGGTTTGTGGTTTGCTGGGGTTTTCTCTTTGTTTTGAGGTGTTGGTTTTGGGTTGGTTTTTTTTTTTAAGCTACTGCCTCAGTCACTTTCTTCAACATTGACTAACGTGCTACCATGAAATTCCTCATTTTCTGGTTAACACAAATTCTCCATTCTCCTTTTCCAATATGGCTATCATCACACAGCTTTTGATAGCTATCACAACCAGTAAAGACAGGATTCAAGAATCACTTCATGTGTGAAGCACAATACATTTCTTTGATTCTGTGACAGAGTGATAACAAACCTCAGTTGCTTACCTCAGGTCTAAGAGAAGGAAGGATAACGATTTCTTGCAAAGCTTGTTTAGCCAGTTCCTGCCCTGCGATATCATCAAATTTGACAGCTGGCCCACTAACAAAGAAAAGAATACTAATGAGTCTAACAATGAGATACTCTTTTTCAGCTGCAGCTGACTAATTTCATGCATTTGACTATTTATACAGAACCATTTTGAGGAAATATACGACTTATATTGCTAAGCATTTAAAAAGATAAGCATTTCTGATTTGACTTTTCAATGTTTTGCCAAACGACAACAAAAAAATACCACCCAAAACAACCCCCCAAAAACCCACAACAAAAAAAGTACTAATTTTCATTCCAAGTGGACCAAGACCACACTGAACAAAAAAACGGTTTTCTGCAATGAAAAGCCTACTTTTCTTCAGACTTACCTATCAACAATTTCATTCAGGATAAGATTAGCAAGATTACTGTCCACATTTCTAAATATCTTCAAGTCTTTCTTTTTTCGAGGAACAGTTGTAGGAGTAGAAGGCTTATTTGTTCTGCTGTTTTTAGGAGCAGCCTAGAGAGCAGGAGGAAAAAAAAACCCAAACAAAAAACCAACTTGATACTTTTAAAGCATACTGTTAACCAAATTATATGTCATATGCTCCAGCAAAACCCAATACATTAATACATACCGGACATTCTGATGCTGTATTTTGCTACAAATTATAGTATCATATTCAGCCACAGGTAGAACACCTTAGGCTCCAGTGCAGAGGGTTTTTTTGGTTTGCATTTGGTTTGGGGATTTTTTTAAATTTTTTAGATTTTTTTTTTTTAAAGATAATTCCTCATATTTAACCACAGTATTTTCCCCCAGCATACTCTAGAAATAGAGCATCACAAACTGTTTCAGATTCTTAATACCTATAAACAAGAATTTCTACTGCTGTCATACTTTGCCAATAGGCTACTTAAATCCCTCCATATTATAGCAGCAACGCATTTATGTTCTGTCCATTCTGCTCTTTATTCTACTCTACTGTGGGAGCAGCAGGGGGGAGATAAGGATGGAAAGACATGGGTCAAAAGAAATGCAGCATTTTTGTGTCTTATTAATATAGGACTTATTTTGTATTTCAGTGACAATCTAACCATAATTTGCTTTTCAATGTGGTTGCAAAACAACCTGTGCATACCTGCTTTAGAAGAGAAGGAACGTGTCAGGGGGAAAATCTGTAGTTCTGGAGTAAGAGGGGTTTTCCTCTACCTTTTACATACTGGGAGCAACATCTATTTCTCCTAGATAAGCTTCCCTCAGTTTCCCATGCAATTTTCAAAACAAGTTTTATCATTTATTACTGCAATCACAATTAAAATCCATTTTCCCATGCAGCCACCTGATGCCTCCCGATTTCTAAAATCCACTCCGCAGCCCAGCTCAAGAGGCCTGGCCAAAAGTTTAGGGCTTTAGGGTTTTTTCCCCAAAAAACTTTCTGCTACTGCAATAAAGGCAGGAAATCCAAAGTTTGTTCTGGAATTTACATTGACTTTCCAAGTGTATACTGCTGTATCTATCCTTACCATACCTTATGAGTTGAAGCTACAGGATTAGGTGCTGTTCTAGACACAGAAGTTGATATCCCACTGTAGCTAGGTGTTCTGTGGTGACCTGAAAGGCCTGTAGATCCAGTTTTTACAACAGTTTTTGAACGAGGAAGGGAATTACTCGTGTGTGTTAGGGGATCCTTCTTTTTTGGAACCGCTCCACTTTCTACAAAGAAAACCAACGTCATGAGAACATTTTCATCAGCCATACTTTAACCATCAATTCTAACTTACAGACAGTATTGTTGATACATGTAATACAGTATTACAGCTGAATCATACAAATTTTTAAAAAGTTTCAGTACTTTTAAAAGGATATTAACTGTCACTTTCTCCTAAAGTTAAGTTTTGAGTGTTTAGGAGATCTCAAAACCAATGCTAGTTAGCCATCTTAGAAAAGCTGGAGACAGCTAAGTCCTGTATCAAGGGAAGAACACCATCTGTTCCTTAAAACAGAAGACAGAACACCAGCCAGAAGATCTTCCTTCCCAAGATTTCCTAAAAATAATCATCATAATAATGCCCAAATTTCAATCCATTAGATTCAGAGCATTCATTCTTAAGTGATGTTAGCAGGCTAGTTACTTTGGATGCTAGCTAAAATTATCTAGCATCTTCCACACAGAAGCTTCACCAAGGCACTTTAATTTGGGAAAATCAAAATAGTTATACCTGCAAGCAACTACCAGGCACTTTTTCTTACAACTTTCTTTCACTTCAGGAATCTCAAGGTGTAAGTAATTCTGAACATACACCTCTGAAGCAGCTTACCTTCCTACATTCCAAATTAGGTCTTAAAATATTATACCACTGAATTCAAAGACCACCACAGATTCCATTCACACTTACTCTAATTCACCTCCACGATGGAGCAAGAAGGTTTCAAATTAGGTGACAGATAAAACTCAACATATTGGCCACAGATGATTAAACTACAAAAGGCCATTTTGGTCCAGAGTAAGTGAAACAGCACTTCATTTCTAAATTCTCTGTATGGGATACACAATAAAGTAAGGTTCCTTGGCACAGAAACAGCAAGTGTAGAACGTCAAAACAGAGACTAAGAGCTAAGAATGTGCTACAGCGAGTATGCAGGTTGGTTAGGCTGGTTAATGATTAGAGCACAGCATCAGATCAGGGTTTTTTGTGGCAAGAATACAGTACTGGAAGCTGTCTAGTACAGTACTGTTGTCTCCAACAGAAACTGTAAATACTGCCTTATTTTATATCCTTTTAAAAGGATTAAGGAGCCTTTTGATAAGAGAAACACTGAGTCAGAGGTAAGGAAACTCAGGACGGATTTCAGCTACAAGTTTCTTCACTAAGATACTAGAAATCTGCAACTCAATTTGACTTGTTAGTCTTCAACAACAGGCCAAAGAACTCTTGTTTTTTAAGGAAATTAATGACTCTACAAAGAATTTTTAATTTATAATATTGCAGTTCAGTGAAAAATACTTCAAGTAGAAAGCCTCATAATTCTGAATGTTGTGTTTAAAAAACTCAAATAAGAATACTTCAGTGAAACAGTATCATGGAAGCATCAACTAATTACTACCATATTCTCAGCCTCTTTAAACATAAAAGTTTTGCATACTCCACGAGCAATTCTTTACACAGCCTGCAGTTATCCATGTGTTGAACTACCTGTCTAACAAGCTTCTAAAGTCTTTCTTCAGTCACAAATCTATCCCTTTTAACTCTGCAGGGCTCATCATAAACAATGCAGATGTATCAACATGCAAAAAACAAGGGAACTTAAGAATATTAACTAAATTTACCTGTAAGATATTTCCTGTGGAAAAAAAATCCAATCAACCAACCAAAAACAAAACCCCAACCCAAATCAACCAAAACCAACCAAAACCATCAATGAAACTGACTAAATCACACACAGATCCAGAGCTGGTTAAATTTACTTACTCATTCCTGCATAGGAACTTCCAAGTCAAGAACTCTTAAAAATTTGGCATGCTTAGTAACTTTCAAGTTCAAAAAGCAGTATATGGATCTATTAAAAAAACCTAGCTACTCAACACTTTGACTGGTCCAATCTAATGAAAAGGCAGCACTCTGGTTGGTTGGCTGGTTTGTTTTTTTCCTTCAGCCTCATTTGTACAGCTGGCTTGAAGTCAACATGAGAAGGCTTCAAAAAACTGAAGTAGTTTTCCCTCCATCTCCTTCACCCCAGCACACTGCTCAATTATTACACTTTCCTAGAACTACCCCCATCTATTGAGAACAATACATACACATTGCAATTTTGAGTACCATAACATCGCGCAGGTAAGGTGTATTTCAGAAAGGTGTAAATACAGGGGGGAAGGGAAAAGAAAAAGGTTTAAATACAAATTACGATTTATTCCAGCTGTACCTCCAGGAATCAAGACCACTAAGTTTACGTATGTCCTGTGGTCAGTCCTGATGGGTAGCACAGAAAGCAGCACTGATGAACTACTCTTGAACATAGTCATTCAGTGTCAACTCCAGAGGGAAACTTCATTTTATATACAAATTTTCATTGGAGCAGCAAACAAAAATGTGATCAAACTTTTCAGAATTACAGTTTATCTAAAGTTTACCTATTTTTAAAGGGTCAAGTGTTTAAGAGCACAATTATGTTTCTGGTCAGACTGAGAGCCCCTATTATTTAATTAAGTAAAAGATATATTTTGCTGTAACAAAAATAAAACCCCCAGAACACATTTATTATCCATTTGTATTTGTCATCTGCTGAAAGATGAAAAATATGCTGCAAGAGCCCCTGAAACCTTTGTAATATATCCAGCAGCCTTTTGGCAAATGTTTCACCGTTCCAAATGAAACGGTAAGTAAGTGTCTAAAATGCATCCTCATCATAAAGTCAGACCATGGTATTTTTTTTCAAGCGTATTTGAAACACTGAACAACTCAATTGTCTACTTCATATACACTTACAGGATAGAAATAGGGGCTCTTTGATTTTGGTTTTACTCTCTAATTCTTGACCGGACAGAATAATTTACTTCAAAGCTCCAAGCTACTGCCACTAGACTATACCGAAGTAATAACTGCCTGGTCCTGAAAGCATCCCTGCAATTTTAATCTGTCATCCAAATATACACACAATGAACAAATTACAAACAAGAAGCAGAATTTTGTCTGAGGTTTTCTGTCGGTTAAATTGTGATAAGCTGCAGACACAGGTGCCCAATTTCAGACTCCCTTACAGAAAGAAATGTTAAAACACAATTACTATATTTAACTGTTTTTAAAGGTAAAGTGAAGTAAGGATATGTTTGAACAACTTTCGAGAAGCTTGATTGTACTACACACATGCAAACACAGAAACAATCTGGGAAACAATGCAGCTCTAGCTTATTTATTAATAAAGATAACAGCATGTTTTGTATTTCTACAAAGCAAACCAATTATATTTTCTTTTGTGCATCTAAAACAGATTAAGGCACACTGTAATAATCAAGTTTCTGCTGGTTTTATAACTCCTTAAGCATCAAAAAAACAGTTTAAATTAAAATTAGCAGTTCCAGTATTGCAGAACAGTTTCCAGCCTTTAGTTGTGAAATCAGGGAATATTCCTCAGAAATTCCTTATGTATGCCTACCCATAACTGATATAATGTGACTAGGAGAACTTATTGTATGATGTCTGTGGATCACAAGTCCAAAAAATTTCACCAGTCTAGAATTGTCTGTAACTTTCTGTATCTAGTTTTATTAATTAAAAATCTTTAAACTGCTTAGCTACACAGCAATACATGCAGTAAGACTGATTTCAGTTATTCGGCACCCACAACAGCCCCCCCAAACAGTAATTCCTTCAAAGATCATACACAGATTTTTCAAATAAGTACATCCAAGTAATCAAAACTACCTAACACAGAACTCCAGCAACTAACAAGGACCTATTCCATGTTAGAATGGCAGCACAGCTACACAGATCAGTGACACACCTGTTCTCCTCCTGAACTGTCAGAGCCACATTGAAGATCTACTGTTGCCAAATAACGGTGTTAAGTTACGGTCTTATTGCTACTTGTTCTCCTACTTGGACAACTACATAAAAGACTTCAACATTAAGAGTAGAATTTTTGCAACTTGAAAAACCTTGCCCATATATACCTACTACTACAGACACACCAGCAAATCCTTCCAGTGAAAACCGAGACGAAATACTAGCTTACTTGCATAGTACTAATGTTGCAGTAAGAAAGAGAAACTTAATGCTTTCTCTGATCATATACCATTCTGTGATTTACACATTAAATGTAAAATGGTACACCAGAATTACTGCAATACTACCAGTATTATATGCCGAATAAATAAGTTCATAAAACTCAAGCACTACGTTTGGCAAGACATGCATAATCTCCTTCCCAAGCTAGCTGAAAAACAAAAACCCACAATGCAAAGGAAAACATGCATGTCTGAGGAAAAAAAAAATCCAACACAAAAAACACAGCTAAATTGTTTTGCATCTAATTTAAGACTGCTATGAGAAGAAGAATGACAGGTATTAAACAGTAAATATATATTTCAAAATAAAGTTTTGGGTGAAGACTACTTGCTATTAGTGTTAAGACAAGTTACTGCATAGCCTTCTGCAACTGAAGGGCAGGTGATACTGCTGTAATGGGGTCCTATAAAATCTCATTATTAATCTATCGGATAAATTTTCAAGAAAAATCTCTATCTATTCAGGTAAATTAGGAAACTATGAATGAGGAAGGGATAGGTAGTTATCTGTGCTAGAATCAAGTAAATTGGTCTGAAAGGCTGACACATCATGTCTTGGAAGGAAGAATCTCAAGTCAGTAACATTTTGGAAATACAAAAAATGTGCAGTACAGTTATGAGAACAGAATAATGGACAGAATTAAGAAGCAAAAACATCTTTAAAGACTTTGGCCTTTAAAAGCAAATGAAAGAAAGCAAAGCAGGTTTTGACCAAAGAATGGGGAAAAAGGCACTTTCCTGATGTTAAACCATGAATGATCATGTTTCACACTTCATAAAATCCCAGACTTTTAAAAATGCCTGCCTGATTAGGTAACAACACTGATAATTATATTATAAGTACGTAGAAAAATTAAGCTTATGCCAGAGCCCTGTGGCTCAGTATCTCTGCAGCAACCCTACTTTCTCAGTAACAGCAGACCTCTTATTTTAAGTAGCCTGCAAGCTGATTTTGTAGAGTTTTCTAAGAATTTGTTATCTACTTTGTTTTTAAATAATTGCTGCTATCCATGTGAAAATACTATCTTTATTACAACATGTATCAAGGAAAGATTGTAGCACCAACATCTTACAAGCACAACTCCTCCCTCCCCACACACACACACACGCCCCCCAAAAAAAAAAAAAAAAAAGAGAGAGCAAGCATAGGCATCAGCCAATTAAGAAATTAAGATGACTGTTAATAGGCTGACTTTCCTGGCACTATCAGGGACCCCACAGCTGCAGGAGTTCAGTACTTTGGGTAAACCTCTAACTTCCACAAGTTATGAGTCTAAAGTTTACATTTGGCAATGTAAATGGAAATGGAACAAGCTTCTTGAAGTCTTGTTCAAAGTAATCAGTAGAGGCCTGGTACCTAACTCTTTTTTTATGACCTCCTCTCTTCAGTCCTGTCTCTTTTCAGATCCCACTTGAGCCTGGCAAATGAAAGTTCCTCTGTTAGACCTTATTCCTTTTCAGGAAGTCTGAAGACACTTCTCAGAAAAAAGGATCCCCAGAAGCCCACAGCCCTTTGCAGTTATTTTGCTACCCTTTCCTCCATGGCTT